AAGTTTGATTCAAAGTTTGCAAACATATTTGGGTTTGAATTAATAAATATTAGTTATTGGTATAAAGCATCCAATAATGGTGTTTTACCATATAGATCTTATATAACAACCCATGCTTTTTTCGAATATTAATTTGTACGAGTCAATATGAAAATCATATAATTTTTGAATTTACATGTATTTTCATATAAACCTGTGCGAATACTTTTTAAATTGTAATTCGTATACTTTTTAAATTAGTATACTTTTTAAATTATAATTAGCATATTTGTTAAATTGTAATTAATGTAATTTTAAATTGTAATTAACGTATTTTTTAAATTATAAATTACAATTTAGCTCTATGTGTTGATAATAGTCACACTAGAATTATTATCACAAGGATCACTCTATTTAATCTGTATAACCTGAAATAGTATTTAAGGATTAGATAGATAATCAGGATCAGCAGTATATTTTTCTTTCGCTGCTCGACTTAGATTTGACTTTTTCATATATAGTTCTACCAGGACCCCAAAGATCTCTAATACAACTTAGATCCAAGTTTGTATAATATCAGCCAAATAGGCATATAAAATAGGCCAAAATTTAAAATTTTACTATATAAAAATGCAATGTTTGATGAATTTCTACACAAAATTTTCTTTTTTAGTAATCTCTAAGTTATATTAGAGATCTTTGAGGTTCTGTCCCACCCACCCTAAGAAACTGTTGTGAATTAGAGTAATAAGAGATCTGCTTACCTAGAAATATTGGAATAGGAAAATCAGTAGTCATACAACTAATGAATTTCTTGGGTATATTCCAGTACAAAGCTAATGCAAATGATGTTAAAATAGTTCAAAGCGCTATATTAAGATGTTTAATTATTTTTAGAATCAGTTGATGTAGACAACGTGATTCTGAATAGAGTGATGAAAATATTACTATACGATCTGATCTGAGCTTGGAAGCTTCCAAAATAATTAGTTACAAAATTTACTAAAACGGCAGAATGATTTTTGGTCTATCATCAATTGAACCAGAAAATTGGACTAGCTAAAACCTTTTAGCTTTGAACAATATATTGAAGAAACGGTTACCTCATATACCTCATTTTAAAATATCTAAAGATGACATTGTTGATAAGTTCTTCAACTCCTTTGTGTATAGTCCTGCCCACTCCCACTTCTAAGGAATCGTTAAAGACTAGAGTAACAAGAACTTTCTGAGAGAGTTTATCTGAAAATATTTGAATGTGGAAATTGGTGGTCATAAATTCGTTGGATATATTCCTGGTGCAGAAGTTAATGTAGATGGTGTAAAAATGGTTTAAGAATTATATATATAGGACATATAATTATTATACATATATGTAGCAAGTAAAATGTACCACACCATAGCATAGGCTCATGCTTGCTATCTCAAAAGAAAGTAAAATGCGAAAGTTACATGTATGTGCAGAGCAGAAGCTAATCTAAAATGGTTCAAGATCCTATATAGGTGTGAATTAGCTTCTGACACTGTTTCTTAAATACCATAGATCGCAAGAATAGAATGTGGTTTTGAATAAAAGGACAGAAAATATTGCCATATGACCCGATCCGGTTTTGGTGAATCGACATTCAAAAAAAAAAAAGGGAAAAAAATTGAACATCTGAAATGGTGAGAAGTGGAAGCTGACTAAAATATTACTCTGAGCTGAAAAAGACTATCATAATTAAGAGCGTGGAGATTCGCTGAACAAAAAAACACCCTGAGAAGCTTTCAAAATAATCAGTTACGAACAAAAAAACACCCTGAGAAGCTTCCAAAATAATTAGTTACAAAATTTGTAACAATTTTGGAAAAGTATTCAAATAAGATCTTGATTCTGAAGATTTTACATCACCTCAAGAAAATACGCTAGTCTCTCTTATCATATGAGATAATTTACAAATGAAAGAAGGAATTTTATGAATAGGGAGTTGCACAGAATCTAGGCTTATCATCAATTAGACCAAAAAATTGGACTGATCCAAAAAATTGCGAATCCAAATCGGCAAGTACCATCAACAATTCTTTCACCCCGAGTAATTTTGAAACAAGAATTGCCTACACGTGTGATGGCGTTGTGAACTTGGGAGAGCTTTTGGTTGAATCTTAATGTAGGGCTTATAGTGTGGAAAAAAAAAAATAAAATAAAATAAAAAATAATAAGAGGCCTTGGAAGATGATCTTCAGGAACACCTTACCCTGACGGCAAAAAAAAAAAGAAAAGATGAAATGTGAAAAGCCGAGATCTTCTTTCATGACTCCGATTTATCTTGTATTACGTATATACATACATATAGCAAGTAGAATATGCCACACTATAGCGTGGGCCCGTACTTGCTATTTAATAGAAAGTAAAATGTGGAGAAGTACGTGTATGGGTGGAAGTAGGATGCATGTGGGCTTGTATATACTACTTAAATAAATAAGAAAGAAAGAAGCACCTTTTCGTCATTACTCATAGTGTAGCAAGTAGAATGCGCCATACCATAGCATTGGCTCGTGCTTGCTACGTTAAAGAAAAAAGAAAAAGTATTTTGTCAGTTGTCACTGGATAGGTGTATCATGTTTGTTTCTAGGCATATGCGTAGCAAGTAGAATGCGCCACACCATAGTGTAGGCTCATTCTTTCTGTTTTTAAAAAGAAGAGGAATTATGAATCCGGTAAATAAAGGCAAAATAATGGATCAAAAATGAGTGTGTACTGTGGGTCGAACTGAATAAAGGGTAAGCCAGAAAGAAGAGAAATGGCAGAAAAAGGAGCTAAGAAAGCAGAAGAAGCTGAAGAAGCCAACAAAGCCGAAGGAGACAGAAGCAGAAGAAGCTGATGAACCTGACAAAGCGAAAGAAACTGACAAAGCTGATGAAGCGGAAGAAGCCAGAGAAACAGGAAGAAGCAGGAAGAAGCCAGAGAAACAGGGAGAAGCAGAAAGAAGAAAATGTAGAAAGAGCAGAAAAGTGGAAGAAGCAGTGGGAGCAGAATGAGTAGGAAATATGCGTGAGGTCTTTTGTTAAGGTTAGGAATGCACTATCATAGTGCACTATGTACGTACGTACATGCTCGAGTTTTGATCCTCTTTTGTCTTTGTCACATGACCAGCGTGTGACATCTGATTATATTGTAGTTGTTTTTATGTTTGAAAGTGTATATATATATCGGCACCAAGAGCTGCAGCGTAGCACCACTCCCATATTGTATCTTCATCAATAAAGTTGATCCAAGTGAGAATAATAAAAAATACGTTAATTACAATTTAAAATTACATTAATTACAATTTAACAAATATACTAATTATAATTTAAAAAGTATACTATATAATTTAAAAAGTATACGAATTACAATTTAAAAAGTATTCGCACAGGTTTATATGAAAATACATGTGAATTCGAAAATCACATGATTTTCATATTGACCCGTGCAAATTAACATTTGAAAAAAGCACGGGTTGTTACATAAGACCCGTATGATAAAACACCGTTATTGGATGCTTTATACCAATAACTAATATTTATTAATTCAAACCCAAATATGTTTGCAAACTTTGAATCAAACTTACAGAGTTTGTTTGAGTTTGATAATTTTATATTTGATTTAAGTTTGAGTTTGAATTATTAAAAATTTATAGTTTGAGTTTGAGTTTGATTTAAAAGTTTGATCAAACTCAAACTAATCAAATCAAATTTAGGAACCCTAGAAAATTGCAGTTTTTTGATTTACCAAAATTGGTAATTAAGCTTAATAATTTATGAGAAAATTTTTTGAATTTCTCTATGAAAATTTAATCCTACATACTTTTAGGTACGGAGAATAACATATTTTAAGATCATTATTTATAATAGGGTTTAAAAATTCATCGACATAATGACAATTTTTTGAGTGGGTGGTGATAGGGAGGTAAGCAGTGTTGTTGAGTTTTATCAATTTAAAAAGTCAGATATATTAGATTCGAAAACAGAATATCTGACATCAAATTCTTGCATAATGTTACTTACATAGCCAAATATACCTTTTTGATTGATTATTAGTAAAAAATTCAAAAATAGTAAAGTAAAAACCAAAAATAGTAAAGCAAAAAAATTCAAAAATAGCAAATAGTCTGCCATCAGCAAATGTTACTAAAATATTTCAGATTAACTATATTTTGTGTTTTTACATATTAAAATATTCTATAAACAAATAATTTGCGTATAATAATTATAAACATCACATGAAATAAATTATTGTTATATATCACATACACATAAATGTGTTAAAAATTGATCTGTATTATTTGTCACGGATTTTTAACCATGTTGTGGATTTTGTGATTGAAACAAATCACAAAAAACTTATGGTTTATTGCAATTTGCTTCGATTGCAACAAAATATATTTTTCAAGTATATTAAACGACTATAATGGTATTTTTTAGAAAGTATAATAAAACTATTATAATATTTTGTTTAGCGGTGCATAATAAATTACTATAAAATTGTATTTCGTCTAGCGAAGCAGAATAGATTATGACAATATATAATATATTACATTACGTGAAGATTTATAATTATTTTTTTAAAATATATAATATTATTAGAAAATATAGTTTTAGTAGTAGTTTGGACATGTTTTCTAATTATTGTAAAACAGAAACAGTCTAAATGAAATTTAGTAAAACCCTTTTAAAAAAAACCACAATTTTTTACTAGATAAATTATTAAAATTTATGTACAGTTAAGTAAATGTAATTGAATCTGTACTTTATTTAATCAGTAGTAAATCAAATAATTAGTTGATATTGAAAACATCCGAAATCTAAACTTTACAAGTGGTCTGCCAACAATTTACTAGTTCATTTGCTTCAACTCCTCTTGCCTATTATTCAGCTCAAATGGTTGGAGGCTAAATAATTATAACGTTTGGTATTATATTTGCTAATTAAACATTCCTCTCCCTTCAATTGCTTAAAACTTATTAGATTTGATTACCAGATGCCAACACTTCAAATGCGAAATTTAACTAATATTTACATATTGAGCGTTCAAAATTATACATGGGTATCATCTATTATTTCTAATTATACCTGTACTTCTCCTGGTACCAGTTCATCTACTTCAATACCCAACAAATTCCAATTTATCTACTTCAATGGCCAACAAGTTCCAATTTATCTACTTCAATACCAATTTATCCTAAAATTCGTCATCACTTAACGTTCGTTAATTGCTGGTCATGGCGGCTTATTTGATGTATTCATATATAATTGCAAGTATAATATTTCTTATTTTTTTTATTGTAAGAAACATTATCGTTATATTGCTACTCCAGATACGAATATTCTCTAACACGATGTGCCTGTATGGAAAAAATGTATTAATTAATTGTACAGAATACCGATTTATAATTTTTCAGCCGAATGCTGAAATAATTGGTGAATATAGGAAATGTTGCTTAATATCTTTATTGATTGTGCGTTTGTTATTAATTTTTTATGAAAATTACTTTTAGTATAAAACTTAATTTATTAAAAAAAAAATTGATTTGATTTATTAGGCCGCGCAAAGTCGATTTTTCGTTTTGCATTACATGGTTTTCAAAATTTCGGTCGGCGGGCGGATTTTTTTT